GACTTCCACTAACACCTGCCCAGCCCACTAACCAGTAACACCCCCTCCCTTCACAAAATAATTCCCAGCATCTGAGACTGATCAACTACATGAAACAGGGGGGAAAAAAAAAATCAGTTGAGACAGTCTTGGCAGTGAAGAGAGAAAAGGAAGAGGCTGTCAAAGTTGAGAAGGATGTCAGCACTGGCCCTGATTACAGGGGCCTATACAGTTCCCAGGCCTTTCATCATCTCTGCCATCAAAAACACAGTCTGTGTCACAGATGGATGACTGATGGCTGCCAGTCTTAACTGACCTCACCAAGCCTCCTGGGTCCCTGCTGAGATCTGGCCCTCAAGCAATAGGCTTGATCTAACAGGAAAAATACTCTAGGCACAGAGCCCAAGCCTGTAGATGTATTAAACAGCATCCTGCTTCTTACGAAAATCATGCAGTTAGATTTTTTTAAAACTCAAAACCATTAATACAAACTTTTTGTTCAGTAATTTGAAAAGGGCTGTGACAGAAAATTGGTCACTACTGTAATCCAGTTACTGACCATGATGTGGAGATGCCAGTATTGGACTGGGATGGACAAGGGGCTCTGAAAGCTTGTGTTTTCAAATAAACCTGTGGGGCTATAACCTAGTGTCATGTGATTTCTGACCTAAATACTGACAGTATATCAAACATATTTATATAATAGCCATAAAGCAGAGTTAAGGTGTTTTTGTTCCAGAGCTACTACCTGACACTATAGATGACAAAAAAAAGCACCTAGAATTTGTTGAAACCAAGATTGATGGATTTTTATTCACGGAGGGTATCAAGGTATACAAATGAAAGGCAGGTACATTGAGATGAGGTACAGATTAGCTGGGATCTAACTGAATGGAAGAACTGGGGCTGACAGATCTCTCCTGTTCTGAGCTTTGTGTTTTTCAGGTAAATAGAGTTGAGTATGGTAACATTGGGGGTTTTCAACAGTATCTTCAAACGTTAAGTTAGCTAGCACATGTCAAACTAGTTGCTAAGAAACACCTGATAATGCAAATACAGAACTTCAGAAATATAACTAAGTGAACTGAAATTCATTTTCCACTTTCCTAGAATTTTCTCTGCTTATCAACAAATAAAACAAATTGTGGTAACTGAGGGGACACATTTTCAAAATTAAATGCAGCGATATACACTTTAAGAATGCTGAGTTTTCCAATGGATAATCAACTACCATTTATGTTACCAATTCTACATGAAGGCCAAATGGAATTCATTCTAGCATAACACTGATAGTATAAAGCTTCCTGACATAATGTATGGGTATGAAACCAGCATAAAGTGTCACCTCCTGATCCCTGGATTTCACACAGTTTTCAGGCTGGCATCTTCCAATTGTAGACATTGAGGCGGCATGAAACTGGTATTGGTATCCTGCCAGCTTTACAGTCCCTATGGAAATGAAGATGTTAGTGTGTGACTGCCAGCGATTTATGACGCTCTCCATTGGCATCTGCCCAGTCCTTCTTATGTGCAAATTTAAAATACAATGCAGCTCTCGTGATGAGGGTTGCACTCTTCTGGCGGGCATGGATATCAGTGTAGGGAGCTGCCCCATTGTGACTGTACGCAAGTTGGATCACCTCTGACCATACACAGCAGTATCCATGGTTAAGAAATGATGCAGGTCACAACCAAGGCTACAGCCATATCTGGATGCTGGTTTCAGGTTTCTTATCTAACCAAGTTACTTCATAATTACTTTTTACCGTAACACAGATGGCAGCTAAGTATAGCTCCAAATAGCTAAGAATAAGCAAGCTTTGTGTTTTATCACAGACTAGACAATAAAGACGACCACTACTTCGCAATGGATGACAAAAAAACAATTTTTTAAAGATAAACTAACTTAGTTATGAATCCCCCTTCCTGAACAGCTGTTCTGGGTGATGAAACCAGATATTCATAATTGATAACATGTGCCCTGACAATACATATTAATAATTCATAATTATATATATAAAAAGTTAACTGATCAAAACATTCTTTAAATATTGTACCTTCACTTAACATAGCAAATAGTTCAGGGTGTGTAGGACATGATCCTTTGTACGTAATACATTAATCAATGAATCTTTTCTGAATTCTCAATTTCAAATAACAGAATTGATGGATTGACAGATTATGTCCTTTTTACTCAATCATAGCCCAGCCCTAACAATCCTATGAGCCACATTGTTGCAAAATGAACCAGTCTCATCCTGCTAACTCACCCTGGCTTCACTGCATTCCCATAACCCTGCAGCAGTCACAATTCATTCTAATCACTTTACAAAACAATCTTTAGCAAAAGAAAAATGCAGACTTGTGAGCCAATTTAAGAAATAACTGCTGATACATCAGTTATTGACTATTTCACTCCTGCTCATGATAGTGCTCAAGGCAAAACTGGGAACAAAATGACAGCATCAACTGTATGCAATAAACTGTTGCCCGGGAGAGCACTGAAGCCTTAATTGACAGCTGTCAAGCTAATGGAGGCAATGCCAGTTGATTCTGGAAAATTCTGTTTACTGGTTAAATATTTCAAAGAAACTTTCAGGCAATCTTATGGTTATGCTTTATTCCTTCTTTTCTCTTTGTTGTTCATCCCTTGCAAAAGCCGAGAACGGCCATAACTAATCATTCTGTCAGTTGGCTGCTAGGGAGAATCTCCATCCAGCAGAGCAATGTGTGGCAGGTTTGCAGGCAAATAACACTGCAACAGTCAACCACAAGTACCTCTGTAGGTACTCTACCTCTTGCTGCTTTCTTCATGTTTGGGATGATGGCAATAACAACTAAACAGATTATCTTAATCCAATGAGTACAGTACAGCTTTGTGCTCCATGTAGTTTATCTCTATGATTGATATACTTTTCCTTCTGAAGATTATCATGTATCTAAATAGGGATAGCACTGTTGATGTGAAAATTGTAAACTTTTATACACCACGACAAGAAAAAAATGGAAACGTACTGCTTGCTTTACTCATTTTCACACTACCTTTTAAAAATACAGTTGAAAGACCTTTTATTATATCTGTATTCATAGTAGAATAGAAACATTTCTGCTTAAGTTGATGAGAGACAACTAGCAAATCCTCTCATACAAATATGTTATTAAGAACTCTTTTAGAAATTGCATTATGCTGTACACTTATCCTGCCCTGTTACCTTTGATGATTGTTGATTTCTGTCTTAGTGAACCTCTACACTAAATCAATCTTTTTACAGATTCTTGGCGATAATTCTAGTCTTCTCTATTAGACAATTCACAATATGCTGTCACAAACCAGCAAGACATAAAGAATTTGAGCACCTGTCTGTTATATCTACAAAAAAATCCATTGCTGGGATTTGTTCATTGTTGTTGTTATTCTACCAGAGACCATTAAAGGGCCCTAATTTCTGTGACATGATTATCCAGGTACCAAAGCCCATTTGTCACCTGCAGCAGAAAATTGAGTTAATGCACAACTAAAGGCAACTAGGACTGTGTAATATCAACTTGATTACATCAAACTAGCTGCAAACCTAATTCTGCTGTATGACAGTGCGTGGAGCTTGTCATCTCCAATCATTGAACCTGTCAGGAATCCATCAGGTTTACAGCTAATTAGGTGAACACTAATGAAGCTGGCAAAACAACTTTTCTTTTTTTACGGCTGAGCGGACCTTTCAGTTTGGGAAATCTTGTGTATACTCAATCCACTCAAGGTTGCTGGGGACTGGTTTCCCGAAGTTACCATCACAGCACATCAGCCGACATTTTTTTTTGTGTGTGTGCTACTTCCATCACTACAGAGCAATCAATTTGTCATCACTCTTTGTATACCACAAAGCAGTCATGAACCTTATAACTTGCAGCTGTGAGGGCCAAGAGAAAAAAAAATTACAGGAAGTTGCTGTGCCTCTAACAAAACAGAGGAAAAAAAAAATCATGCACTGCTCACTAATTTGTCTTCATCTACCCATCAGCAGCATTACTATTCTTTTCCCCCCCTCTTTTAAATAAGTGGTCTTTCAGTCATCAACACCCCCTTCCCTATATCCATTAGGCAAAGGCATTTTGATAAAGTACGCCAAAGCCTGTGTATGGGAAAGAATGAAAGCACTCACTCTGCCAACTTCTGATTGACCATTAAGCTATTGATGAATGTGCCTGTCAGGAGAGAGACAATTAAATCAAATATGAAACAAAGTCGTTTTGACGGGTCATTTTGATAGAATAGTCCTATTCTTCCATCCCTTAGAAGACATGCATTTAAGTTTCTGTCAACACCTTTTATCTTTCTCTTTAAAAAAAACTTGTCCGATCTCCAGCTTTTTTTTGGGGGGGGGGGTGAAGTGAAGTGGTTTGACAGCTAGATGACAGGGGAGGTGTTACGTCATAGGCATGTGCGTTGCCATGGTGAGTGATTTATTGATGTTTATCGGGAATGAATAGATCAAAGCACGCCAGATGACAGGCAATCAATCAGGCATCAAATCAAGGATGGCAATTGTCTATAAAAACCAGTTCCATTCCACAACCCCCATTGTTGATGGTGGAGCTTCCTAGTTCCTCTAACAAACACACCGAGCGAGAGAGAGAGAGAGGTGGGGGAAACTTAACTGGACTTGACATTTTTATGGCTAAATATAAATAAAGCGCATTTTAAAAAGTACAGACTGGAAAAACCCTGTCAGTTACAGGAGCCTGTGCGTCCTGCTGACAAATACTTTCTTCTTGTTTTGTTTTGTGCATGTCTTAAGATAAAAACATTAAAACTCTGAGCCATCCAGATTTTTTTTTTGGAGGGGGTGGGAGCTGGGAGAAGGTGAAGTAGCGTGACACAAGTTAACCAAAGAAGGTTTTTTTTTGTTTCTCCCTTCAGGGCGGCAGGATCATTTTTTTAAAAAAAAGAAGCAAGTGATCTGTGTTGCCCATTTCCCCTCCATCCCTCCACTCCCTCCCTCTGTCACTCCCACATGGGATTGTACCTGCGGAGCGCCGGGGCGCTTGCTGCTTCCTTCGCGGCATGCTGGTCAGAGTTAGCCCGACAGATCCCCAACTCCTTCCAAGGTGGCTGCGCGGCGGCCGGGCGGCGTTTTCATGCAAACTACGTCGGGGCTTCGGGCTGGCGGAGCGGGTAAATAAGGAGAGAGAGAGAGGGGGGAAAAAAAGTGAGACACAGACTCAGAAAGGGGGAAGGAGAGAGAGAGAGGGAGAAGGGAGCAGAAGCAGTCAGTCAGTCAGTGAGAGAGAGAGAGAGAGAGAGAGAGCCACAGTTTCTCTCTCTCTCTCTCACACTCACTCACTCACTCACTCCATACAACACATCGTCTCGGATCCGCACAGCCACTCGCTGGGAGCTGCAACAGGCAAGCTTAAAAGAAAACGAGCTCATCGCGTCACCCAAAGTCGACATTCTTTAACTGTCAACTTCCAAATAAAACAAAAAACAACACACAGACAGACACACACCATCCCCCGCCCCCCACCCCGATCGTCAGCATCCTTCAACCCAGGGCCATTACATTCATGATCCCCTAGCTCACTCACTTCCCTAAACATACCTTTCTTGTTTCTCCTTTTTAAAAAAAAAGACACACAGCAACAACACGGCTGCTCCCCAAGTTAGGTTACATTGTGATTTTTTTAAAAATAAAAACCCTTACTTTTTAAAATAAGTTTCTTTACGGGGAAGGAAATGGAAGTGTAAGAGGGTGAACTAAGTTGTGTTTCTCACTCACTCAACACCTCCCCCCCCAACCTAGTAGCAGCCAGCCCCCCACCCCCGTGTGTGTTATTTTGCAGCTGGGCTGGGGAGAGTACTTGTTGAAGTGCTGAAGCCGGCGGCCCGCTGGGCAGGAGGAGGAGGTTGTGTTGTTTGTACATTTTACTCACAGGGTTTGCTCGGCTGGGTGCTGACTGAAGCTGGCTCTCTCTCGCTGAGGGCTCATACGAGCCGGGAGTCCAGCTGCTGCCCGCCGCCCTGACGCCTCTCGGTGCCTGCGGGAGCGGAGAGGGGGTGGCCCGCCGGCGGAGCCTCACGCCCCGGGGACTGTGGCGGGGCTGTGCCGGGGGGACGCGCCAGCTTCCTGCTGCTCGCCGGTGAACCTCTCGCCTAGATAGCTTTCAGGAACCTCCATTTAGACAAGGATCGATTGGCTTGGAACTCGATTGCGCGCCCCTTACGGAAATGAAGATCAGAAGAAGGGGCCGGACTCGAACTGTGTTCAACTGCTTTGGAGAACATGGATCAGCAAATGCCAAACAGTTTCTTGGATACCAATTGCACTTTTTTTTTTCTTGGCAGATAAGTATTTAGTGACAGCCAGAGCAGAGCAGGGCCATCTTTCTGTCCCAGACGCGTTTCTTTTCAAGGTGTCAGGCAGGCGGTAGCAAATTCTTGAGAGGAGTTGAGCAGAAGATGAGGGCAGATCTGACTATTGCTGGTAAGATCGGGAATCGCCAGTCTCCCCCGTTCTCTCAAGCCCTGGAAGCATTCCAAATGTTTGAAAAACTGGGCAGATTTAAATATCCTGCGTCATAACTTCTTGCGCGCCGTGCCGACTTTTATTTCTAATCTCTTTCGTTTTTTTCTCCCTCTCTTCCCCTCCCCAAGTTCCCGCACCGAAAAATCCGCTTCACTTTCGGCTGGTGCTCATGGCTAAGGTGTCTGTTTTTCCAGCTTGTCACAGGATGAACATTGCAAGTCGCCGAGTCCCGGGAAGTGTGGGTGCTCCTGGAAATGACGAATTGTTTGACGAGAGAAAGAAAGAGAGGGGGGGAAAAAAAAGTGGTGAGTTGTCAAATTCTGCTTCTCCTGCCAAATTTGGTCAGCTTTATCTCATCGCCAGTCGCAGGGGGTTCTCCATTCAGTCCGCTCTGATGGGAAAAGGAGCAATTCGGCCGGCCATACAGGCTACCTGCATCTTCCCCGGCTTGCCTTTAGGGCTGACTAAGTGACTTTCACGGATTCGAGATGGTTTTAGCCCAATCTAGACGTGCACATTCCGTTAGATCCGCCCTAACATCTGTCCGTCTAACCATTGGCGCATCCATCAGTGTCACGCTGTGTGCACACTCCAACAACGACACCAGAGCACATCAGGCGCGATCTCTCCGTGTTAGACACAACACAACACACAAAACCGTCCAGCACTACACAATTACACGGCAACAACAAACCAGCCTCGCAATCACTGCCGCCCCCTTCACAAGCAACTTCATCAGCTCTCTCACCCCACTCACTGACATTCGCACATCGTCTTAGAATAGAAAGGGGGCCAACTTTTTTCACGCGGAGCCACATTTCAGAATATCACCACAGCCCCGTGCTCAGTCAGCCCTGGATGGCCTTCCAGCGTTTTAGTTATTTCAACCCTACTTTGTGTTATTTAAAACTCATTCTTCTGTTAGTAACTTGATTTTGTATATAACCTCAGCAGATAATGGTAACATTTTAACAGAGCGATTGTAAGGATGTACAGTAATTCGGGAGTGCCGTTGATTACACGGACGATGTGCAGATTAATGTACTGAGTATTTAATTGTATTCCATCCAGAACAACAATAGTGGGCCAACACTTTAACTGTCGTTTATAGTTCAGGCCATTCTAAGTTTTTCCATTTTTGATGGTGTTAACGTTGAAACTGATAAATTTATGTAAATGACAGCATTTCTGCATGAATTCCACTCCGCATCATGACCCCACAACTGGCACAGAATTAAATCCACAACTTTAGTACAAATTATATTTGTCAATTTATGTTCTGATTAATTTACCTCCCTTTTGAACTTCTCAATATTATGGATTTCAAGCCATTCATTTCAATAAAAAAAATCTTAAATTCAAACACACCCGCCAATTCAAGCTGGAGTTTTTGGAACGCGTGTTTCGCGGAAGGCCCCTCCCAAAACATGGCTAAAATACTTTATATAAAATCGCAAATATTGTCGCCGAGCCAACATTGTTCTGTCCCAATGTGCATACTTAGTGAACATCTTGCAGTTGTCCAGAATGCGGGTCACATTATCTGGAATTTCGTAGCTTTCGCTTCGTCCAGTGTCCAGAAAGCACAACAGCGGAGTGCAGTGCAAAGTTGGGGATTTTTTTGTCAAAGTTGCAACTTGTATATTTACATGTTCTAAACAACATAGTGCCAATTATTCGTAATTATTTTGATAACCCTGACTTCGTTTCTTGATTTAGATTTCTTTTTTAGTTGCGGCGAAGCTTCTTATATTAGAACAATTTGCTACGGACGGAAGTACATATTAAGTTGCACATTGCATATCTGCACGTTGGAATCAGTTATAATGACACTTTTAATTATCTATTTACTGGAGCGTTTTGATGCATACGAATTAACAATCACCCCAACACAAAGTAATCGATATAGATTACATGTCCAAATTCGATAAACAATGTTCCAGTGTTTTCCCCTCCGTTTTTGGTGAATACAGTCTACTTTCTATCGTTCAATGAACCCCTCCATCTGCTCAAATGTACTGTTATGTTCGGCACTAATAATTGATTTGTCTGTAAGGGACATTAAAATGAACTTTTAAATTATTCTCGCAACGTTCCCAATGCGTGAAATTGACTCGGCGTTTTGGGCTGCTGCTCGGTAGAATTCATACTTAAATATTTCTAATCTATGAGAATAAGTAGCGCCTTGGCGAGGAACCAAAGAACAAGTTCCTGTGAACATCAGATGTCCTGGGGCAGAGGGTGTACGGGGGTGGGAGGAGGAGGGGTGTGGAGGGGGCAGGGCTCTGGAACCTTTCTGAAAAAGTCCTTTGCCCTGCCTGGGCTCAGATGACTGATAGTTATGGGTTTTATATCTTTTCCACTCGTGATTGTAATCATTTGGGCGGGTTCTATGCAGTTTTAGGAGTCCGAACAATAAATCTGCCAGGCAGACACTCCTAGCGAAGCAGCTTTTGTGCTCGAACCGGGCGAGAGACTCCCAGTTTGATGTGTGTACTGGTCAGAGACTGTAGTTGCTTCAAAGTCACTCTGATTTGAGCTGATGCCTTGCAGACGAGCAGATACATATCTGATCAATTCATTTCGAGCTTTTTTTTTATTGTTTTACTGTATAGCACGTTTCCTGTGTTTTCTCTGAAGACTGGTCTATACTCCGCGTGCTGGCTGTATTTATATGCATCCGGTAAATACATGCTCAGATCATATCCTGTTACACATCTGATTAGCAGGTCATTAGCTAAGCCCGGGGTAGAGGAATTTCATTTTAGACAAAATGAGTGCAAACACACCAAGGCAATAAACAGCAGCGGATTGAAGTTTGCGTTGACTGTCGCGACTCGAAATGTGCAGTAAAAGCCGTGTTTCTGGATTCTTTAAAAGTGACGCTCAGAGAATGTCGAATTGCAGTTTTAACGCCTTAAACTAGATCACGAAGGAATCTTCAGGGCCCTCACGTACATCGTCTTAGTCAGGTGAGGGATCCGAACTGAGCTCAAAAGTCACGTTAATCAAAACGAACGAGTGAAATGAAAGACTAAATGGACCGCCTTTTAAAAGTTGTAAAGTCATCTCTGTTCTTAACTAACAAAGAAAGGTCACAGGGAACGCCGAAAGCTGTACTGCAGAATCAAAAATTAAACGCAAGCCATAGCAAAGAGATCGTTTCTGGCCAAATAACATCTTCCATCCAACTCCGAAGCACAAGTCACACCATCACCTCTAATTATTAATTGGTGATATCAAGGGTTGATATTTAAAACATCTATTGTAATTGTTATGTGTATGGCGTTACATTTAACTCAGACAGCTGATGGGGGCAGAACAGGTTTCGAAGTTTCAGTCGAGTTTCAGCTTTGTTGCCGCATAAAAGGTGCACAGCTTACTGTCGCTCATGATCCGGCGTTGAACCCGAGAATGACATTGCTAAATTGCTCCATTGCTAAAACAAAATATTATAAATGTTGCTGTCTGCCTTCTCCAATCAGACGCATTTCTGCCATAGCAGATAATATCACTGCCCGCAAAGAACCCACAGAGAATCCAGTTTTTTTTTTATATAAATCCTTTTGATGATACGATGCTACATCCAACAGGAATGGTAACGAACTGTAAGATCGTTTGTTGACGTGTTTATCTAAACAACCGAAATATTTGATTTATAAATTACCCACCACCGCAGCCGCTAAGAAATTGTCCTTGATCTGAAAACAATGTACCAAGATTTATTGCAAAGATAATCATATACTTTCCATTTCGCCAAATGTTACAGTAACATTTTTACCGAGTGGCTTTCATTTCGTAATGGCGTTAAGATGCTGATAAACTCTGCAGTTTAAATACCATCTAGCAGGAAAGGATTTTACAAACGGTTGTAGTTCCGTACATTCCGAATTAGTTCTGCTGGTGAAATATTTTCA